AAAATTATGGTTCAAAAAGCTTTGAATGCAATGTTGATGATTCCCAAGCACAGTATCTCAGCTAGAGTTACTGTGGATTGGGTTAGTTCCTTGACATGCTTTAATTGAGTGTCACCATGGGAATTGTGGCTGGAAGAAAAATCAAACACACTGCTAACATACAATTAGCTGCCACTTTTATCTGTGCGATCACTCCATGTCCCCTGTTCTATGCATAAGGTCATAATGAAAGCCAATAATTCAAACGCAAGGCAGTTAATTGCCATATTTGTTGCCCATAAATGTATCCATGGGTGAGAGAACCTCTGAGTTCCTTTAAGCTGAGAATGAAAGAGACTCTACTTGCTTCTATTAGCATGCAATGTAATTCTCAAAACAAGTCCAGAACATTTCCCCATTTCCCCAGCATTTGGCTCGCTCTCACCGTTTCAAACACTATTCAAAGACCAGTTTGGGGTTTCTCAGCTGTATGATCAGATGGGTTCCTGTTACATTATGCTGTAGGTCAATCTTTCCTACCAGAACCAGATTGAGAAAGGATCGGTTGGTCAGGCAACAGTTTGTGGGCCGACATCACTTTCTGTTCGCTATATACACAGCGCGTAGCAAGCGATGTCACCAGTGACCTGATAATCTGGAACATCCACCATTTTTCAGTGTGTGGGAACGTCAGCCAGCTTTCTGTCCATGTTTATTGATAAGTCAATGTCATGGTCGACATTCCAACTGCAGTATAAATGAACCTACTTTATAAGAAAGTATGTTATAATGGGGTCCATTCCTCTCCAAGGCCATAGAAAAGTTGTTGTGTCCCAGCTTCGCTCTTTTCCCTTCCGCCATTCCCTCTCTGAACCCCTCCAATCGGGTTTCCCACAGCACGGAAACAGCCCTGGTCAAAGTTACTAACGGCAATCTGAGCATCTGCAACCAGGGCTCTTTCTGCCTCCTTGTCCTGCTCGACCTCTCTGCTGCTTTCGACGATGTCAACAATTCTCTCCTCTTACACTGCCTCCTCTCCTATTAACTCAATCTCCACGGACCTGCACTTGCCCGCCTCTCCCACCATCTCCACTTTATCGCCACTAACGGCTTCTCCTCCAGCCCCCACACCATCATGTGTGGCATTCCTCAGGACTCTGTCCTTGGTCCTCTCTTTTTCAATATCTGTATGCTCCCCCTTGGTGACATCATCCACAGACATGGGTTCAACTACCACATGTATGAGGATGACACCCAATTCCACTGGGTCTGAAACACTGATTGTCCAGAGCCTTGGGATGTCCTCCCAACGTGAAGGGCACTATACAAATGTAATTTTGTTGTTGTTCTACTGAGTGAATGTTTCAAAATATTAATACAAAACATATTATGAAATAAAAACAAATCGGCCACATTCAGGATGAACACAAATTTCCAAGCATCTGGCTTTAGTGGCAATAGAGAGTAAAGCAGCACTAATAGATTAAGAAGCAACATTATTTTAGTCCCCTCTGGTCATTCTAAAAGGTGGCTGACCGCACTCATTCATGACAAATTAAGGCAACTGTCAATAGGCCAGAGTTTCCCCAGTCTGCAGATCACAGTGGGACATTATGTAAATTTGTTCAAATCACCTCCACACACTATTCAGATACAGAGCTAAATGGTAACTGACTGATTGACCGCAAAAAAAACAATAATCATGTTTTCTGATTTAGAACTTGTATTTATACACTTACATACACTGCTTGAATTTCATGAAATGGTTCAAGATAAAGTTCAATGAAAACTTTGGGCTTTGAAGTACATCTTGAACATTTCTCCAAATGGGTCACAGCCAGTTCATGTTGTATTTCAATGATGTGTTGTGGTTGAGAGATTCCAAGATTAGGGATTTACTGTCATGTTACTTGAATCGGATTAAATTGAGAAATGAATGAATGAAAATAAGAAGTCTCCCAAGAAATGAAGAGTGTATAGTTTGTATAGTACTGAGTCTCGTTTCACAGTCCTGTTAGGGACACTAACTCATGCTTGGTACCATGAAATATTAAACTCAGGCACAGAACACAGCATACACAACCCAACGATACTCTCTGAATGCTTCCATGGATCAAAATTCCACAACCTGCTAGTCACAAAACCCTTCCAAATCGTCAATATTTTATCTGTACTTTTTCAAAGCATTTACACTTAAAATTTAAAAAAATGCATTTCTCTTACTGGGCCCATAAATTTGAAGATAATATGCTTCTCATTGGCCATTTCCTGCACTAAGTGGCATTGGAAACACAGACTATGCACCCTTCTGTTATTGGTAAGTCACACTCAATCAGCAAGGAACTGATGTTTTCTTGCCGGTAAGTAATGCAATTCTTAGGAAATCCTTTGGCTAAAAATGGTAAAGCCTGCTACCTACTGGACAAACTAAATAACTTGCAACAAAAATGGTCTTAAAGAAAAAGCAATTCAACAGGATAGCAGCATAAGAATTGCTGAAGTCACTGGGAACATGCAGCAGCTCAGGCAGCATCTATGGAGAAAGGAAAATGAGTCAACATTTCAGGTCCAAGATCCTTCATCATAACCGGTTCTGACGAAGGGTCATGGACCCAAAATGTTGACTCACTTTCCTTTCTCCATAGATGCTGCCTGAACTGCTGAGTGTTCCCAACGACTTCTGTTTTTGTTTCAGATTTCCAGCATCTACAGTATTTTGTGGGAGGGTTTTCCATTAGAAGTGCTCCACAGTTGTACTTTTTTTTAAAGTTTATTAATTATATTTATTTGCAGAGCTCCCCCACATAATCCAGTGAACCTCCATCTCAGGGAAAATGTTGCAGAGCATACAATAAAAGCTGACATCAGCTACGAGATGGAGAGGAGAGAAAAAGGAATATTGTTCCATGGTTGTTCTCATGCAAACTAAAAGAGAATGGTCTTGAACTTGCAGAAGAGTTAGAGAGGCTGAAGGGAAGTATTCCACTCTGCCTGGATGCTCCACGCAGCTTGCCTGAGAGGGAGATTTGCAATGGAGGATCCAGTTCATTTATACAGACAGTGCCCAACTTGCATTTATTGCATCCAATTTGCATTTATACTTGATTCAACTTGCATCCAACTTGCATTTATATAGCGCCCCTCACACCACATGAAAAGGAGGATCCATTGCAAATGAAGATTAGTAAAAACTAAAATCCGAATAATTTATTTACTACATGGTGTCAGCCTGGCTCGGTTGGTCGTGCTCTTAGCTCTGAGTCAGAAGAATATGGATTCAAGCTCCATGTCGGGATATTGAACTCACAGTCCAGGCTGACACCCCCATGCTTTGTTGGAAGTGTTGTCTTTCTGCTGAGACATTAAACTAAGGTTCCATCTGTCTGTTCAGTGGGAAGTGAAAGATCCCATGACATCATTTAAAAACAGAACAAGATTTTCTCCCACTGTCCTGGCCAACAATGCCCCTGATAAAATTGATAGTTCACTTCATGGGATATTTCTGCATGCAAATGCGCTGCTATGCCTACAAATTAGTCACTACACTTTACAGTAAATCCTGTGAAGCACTTTGAAACATCCTCCCGATATGAAAGGCCCTTTTTGAAATGCAAGGATGATTATTATTGTAATGAAGGAATTGCATGGATTAACTTTCAAAAAGGAACTACACAAAATAATTCAGTGTTAGTCAACGGTGAGATAGATATGCCAAAGGAATTGTTTGGGAAGTTGGCATGATATACCAATAATCTATTCCTCTCTGAAATGTTACTTACTTATGTGGGAACACATAATAAATCCAATTCTCTTTTGAACAACCATGAACAGTAATCCTCATTAACCACATCCAGTCAGACCACAAACTAAATACCATTCTCCAGACTTTAAGTTGCATTTGAAAACTACCTGTCTTATGAAGACCACCGGTAAGTCTCAATGATGGGTTTTAGAGACGTGTTTCACTGTAAATTCAGTCAATTTTCATTGTAAGAGTTTGAAGAAATGGTGTACTTTGCCATCTACTGGAGAACACTGTGAAAACACCTGTCCTACTCCACATCTACTGCATGTACAGGAAGGAGTAAAATTTGGAATGTTTCATAATGTATTCAATATGCAAAATCATCACATTGAATATATTATGAAATACTGCAAATTTCACCCCATAATATTGTCTCACCTAAAATTAGTTTCAATTAATTATGTCAGAGCATGCAAAGGAAAATGTTCTTAAAATTATTTTAAAAAGAGTGAAAAATGTATACTTGAGGGTATCCAATCATTCTTAAACATATGCTGCAGGCAAAATAAATGAGGGATTTTTTTCCCCCCAGTGTCCCAGCTAACAATCTCCCAGATAATATTTCTCATTCACTTCATGGCTATTTGTTGGATGATGTGGTTTGCAAATTGGCTGCAGAATTCGCCTTAAGTCATTGCACTTTAAAGTCAATACTGTGAAGAGCTTTGAGACAACTTCTTGCTGTGAAAGGTGCTGTATCAAATGCAGGATTATTATTATTTTATAATACCTGGTGATAGATAGGTCACCAAGGCAACAATTGGAATATTCACACTTGGGGACAGGGGAAGAGTGTTTTTTTTTAATAGTAAGACTTTAATGGGTTTACGATTTTAATGGTAAATTGGGATTTTCCATTTTTCTCCAAATTGAAGAAAAGGTTATTTTTTTTATTTTGTTTCAGCATTTTGAAGTACCAAAAAATGTCTGACTTCCGCGTTGTAAGGTTGACGTGGACGTCACTTGCTTTGCTCTGTGCATGCAGCACCTCTCATGCTCCAATGTTACTTTGTCAAAGTGACTCTAGTAGCACAGACTGCGCACAGTGCATAAAGCGAAGCAACAGAGTGACCTTTGTGGCGACTTCACAACATGCAAATTGGCCATTCTTGTAGTCAAAAAGATTGCTAAATATCAAATAAAATCGCCAATATTATCTGTCGAAATGTTTTAAAAAATCAAAAACTGGCAACCCTACTCATAGTGAATTACAAACCTCCCGATGAAGTCGTCTTTCTTCCTGGAATCCTTGTCCCACACAGTGATTTCTACAATCTCTTCCTTTTCATCACCCAGTAAGAAATCAAAGTGTTCCCGCCACTCAGGATTCAGAGATTTTAATACAGTCTGAAAAAAAAATCAACACAACTTCACTTTAGTAGAGATCTTAAAGAAGCTAAGCTCCAACATGTTCAGCACCTTGCGATGTCTTCCCGACGTGAAAGGCGCTATACAAATGTAATCTTGTTGTTGTGGTTGTTATGCAACTGTTTATAATAATCTAAATGCAAATTTCGGTCAACATTTTGAATTCCATATTTATAGCATCCTGGATATTTATAGCGTACAAGGAGGCTATTCAGCCATCGAGTCTGCACCGACTCTCAGACCAAGCTGTCCATTGAATCCCACTGTTCTGCCCTATCTCCACAACTCTTAAAACCTTTATCTTTCATATACCTGTCTACTTCCCTCTTGAAACCTACAATGAAATGGATTCTGGCTCTACCATCTTACTTGGCAGGGCATTCCATGTCTCAACAACTCTGTGTGGAAAAAAATCTCCAACACTCTCCTTTCAGTCTTCTTGTGATTATCTTATATCTATGTCTTCTATTTACTGACTCTCCTCATCAGTGGAAATAGCTTCCCCCTATTTACTCAGTCAAATCCCTTCACGATAACACCTAAATACATTTTCTATGCAGCAGGGTGACGAAATAAACAATGACTTGCTTACAAAGCCACTGTGACCTTTGTTTCAAACTGCAACGTGCAATTTCCAGGCAGCATAATTTTGATATGTTGAGGAGGTCATTATAGTCAGGGTGGATGGCCATTAATACTAATCATAGGTGTTCTAGGTAAGTGAGTGCTGGAAGCATATTACTTTCCTATTAGCAGTGAAATAATTGGGAAGAGAAATACCAAGTTAAGAGTGAATCATATGCTCTGACCAACTGCTGTCACCTGAATGAACAATTTGCTCACTCACTTTTAATACTCTTGTCTCTTGTTGATTCACTTTAAAAAGTCCTGTGAGCAGCCACAAAGTCTTACTACCTGCAGGAGTTTGTTAGGGCCCAAAGTGACTATTTCCTGCTGAGTAGGGGAACGGCATTAATTTATTTAAGTGGTTCTCAGTGGGCAGGAATCAAATGTTTTCAACCCAAAGTAATGACACCGTCCCTGGGTCTTAGGCAGTAGCCAGATTCAGTTTCCCTAACTGAGGAGAACGATTGTCCTGGGAAGATCGTCTATAGTATAGAGAACATTGATATAGTATTGATGTAGCGCCTTATCACATCTTAAGGCACATCTGTGAAGTGATTGCTGCAATTTAGGCGGCCAATTTGTATGCAGTGATATTCCACAAACTACCATGTCATTAATGAGTATTTTTTTCTTTGTGGGGGAAAGTTTGCCAGGTCACCAGGAGAAACTCCCTTCTCTTTCTGAACAGTATTTAATGTTCACCTGAACAGGCAGGTAGGATCTTAGGTTAATGTGTTATTATCTGAAGGATGGCCCCTCGGACATTGTGCTTTCCTATTAGAGTGCCAGACCATGAGCTCACAATTCCGATGTGGGATTTGAACCCACAATCTCTTACTCCAAGACGAGAGTGCTATCAACTCAGCCAGTTGACACCTACATACCTACAATTACAACAACAACAAGATTCCATTTATTGAGCGCCTTTCACGTCGGGAGGACGTCCCAAGGCGCTGTACAGTTGGGTCAGGACCCGAGCAGGGGGGAAATGGTCAGGGTGAGGGGAGGGAAGGGAAGGAGTGAGGAGGGGGTAGAGAGTCGAGAGGGGAGCTGAAGGCACAGTCAAAGAGAACAGTTACAACACTTTATAGTAAATATTTTGAAGCATTTTGAGAGATTTCAACAATGTGATAAGTTGCTATATCAAATACAGCAATTATTTTTATTATTATGACAAAGATAAGCTCCATTCTGGCTTTAGTGATTTTGTGGTTATGTGCTCTGGTTACACTTGTTAATTGATGCATTGACTTAGTAGGTACTAGGCAGATTTTATAAAACAGAAAATTCATCAACTGGGGAAATGGGTGTTTGATCTATGGTATTCACAAACTGGATTTGTAACTTGGTGAAACTTATCGGTGAAACTCATGACAAAATCTGTGGCAAGTAAATTGCTTATCCCATCACCAAAATCCAAAGCACCCAGCTTCTTACCTGCTGATGTCTTGTTTGCCAGTTTATACCAATTTGAGATTTTAAACAAATTGACAATATTGCCAGCCACAATTTTGCCACCTTTCCACAAACCAGATGTTGCAATTAACGTAAGAACAGTAACAATCACTAGGTTAAGAGAATATTTTTTCATGCAAATTGTTATTAGAACAAGGAATGCTTTGACACAAGTGATTATTAAAGCTAAAGTTATAACGTTATTGTAGGTAAAAATTTCACTTGGGTTCAGATTTATAATAATAATAATCCTTGTATTTGATACTGCATCTTATCACGTTGTTGAGATGTCTCAAAATGCTTCACAGAACAGTGTTTTGCGGGCAAAATGTGGTAGCTAATTGCGCACAGCAGTGTCCCACAAACAGTCGTGGATTGAGTGACCACATTTTGTTTTGGGAACGATTATTACCCCCGGAAAACAATCCCCCAATGGACTCCCAAGTGGGTCCCTACTTACTGCTAGGTAAACAGCAGCGCATATGTGGAGTAAGGAAACTTGCCTAAGGTTTCGCCCTGCCTGGGAATCGAACCCGGTTCATCTTGCTTGCGAGGCAAAGCATTGTGGCTTGTGTCAAAGCATTCCTTTACTATATTTATGAAACATTTCAGAGGGTGCAGAACTTGGCAAATTGCTGAATTCAGTGTTAATTTTGAAGCCAGTTTTCCAAAGCTTTTAAAAGAACTTATTGTAAAATGGGTTCTAAATTAAGGCTGTATTTATGTATTTGCCAAATTCTGCATGTTCTGAGATGCTAAATAGAATAAATCTATGCCCAGGTGGAATTTCTCCCCATTAAGAGAATTGGATCAATATGTGAAGGGTAACAAAGTGAAAGGGATAGAACAGAGATTGTGTTTTTGCAGCTCCAGTAGAGGAGCTAGCATCTTTTCAAGTTTTATGCTCTAATTTCTATGACTCGGCAGTCTTGTTGATAATTCTGCTTCTTTAGTGACAAGTGCTGTTTTTAAAAAAAATCTCACCTTACTCTTGTATTTCTGACATCCCAGTTTGAATTTTACATAAGGATCACTGAGTCCATTTGGATCCATAGACTTGAGGTTCTGTCCCTTCACGAGAGTGATCCCAACAATTCCCTTCCAGAGCTGGTCCTTTTTGTACGCCTGCAGTAAGCGGATATTCTCAGCCTGAGAGCACCATGAGGAAAATGAAACAGAAGCAAAATATCTCTTATAAGCAGATCTTAATAGATCAGTTAGCAAACAGAATGCCATCAGTCAGGCTTAAAAATGACAATATAATTTGTATTTATATGATGCCTTTGGGAGGACATCTCAAAGTACTTAACAAGGGTAAATTTGCTCAAAGAAGACATGTTTTTGGTTGGGATCGGGCCGACAATTGGGGTTGTTGTTGTTTACCAACTTGAAGACTAAACTCGACAAACGCAGTGCAAAACCTGTGACATGTATTTATTCTCAACTCCTGCCAATGAATGCATGCAACCCACTGTGGGTCTATCGTGCATTGTTTGCTGAAAAGAGTAATTTTTTAGAAAGCATTTACAATAGGATTTCCCAGATAAAGAAAATGATCAAGTATATTTAGCATGTAGTAAAGCTTAGTGAGGTCACTAGCGTTGACTGAGACCAGGGTTTCTGAGTCGGTAGAGGAGATTAACAGCCCGGTCTGTTCTGGTCTGCAAACAACCAGATGAAAATCTGTTACTTGGTCTCTAACTTTAACATTCAAGTTGTATGGTGGTAGCAATGTCAGCAACATCTGCTGGAACCACCTCACTTGAGCTGGGAGTTATTAACATTGTCACCAGGAACAAAGGAGAAAATGATGCGAACTTGTGTTGCAATTATAAACTCTCAATCTAATCCATACATAAAAGCCAACAGGATTGTGATCACTCCCAAATGAATAGGGGGGAAAATAAAGGTTATAAATGCATTGCAGCTTTAAAGCAGAAAGGTGCGCAGAGTGCAATTACAAGCCAACTTTGATGTTCTTTTGACATGCAGATCATTCGAGTTTTAAATCAACAACAACAAGATTACATTTGTATAGCCCTTTCACGTAGGGAGGATGTCCCAAGACGCTGGACAGAGTGCAGCATTTCAGACCCGAGCTGGGGTCAGGGGAGGGAAGGGAGGGGAGGGGAAGAGGGGTGGCCGATGGCATGGTTGAAGAGGAGGGTCTTGAGGTGGGAGAAGGAGGCTAAGGAGGGGGCGAGGCGGAGTGATTGGGGGATGGAATTCCAGAGGTTGGAGGCAGAGTGGCTGAAGGCTCTCCTGCCAATGGTGGGGCGGGTGGGTTGGGGGACGTGGAGCAGGCTGGAGCCGACTGAGCAGAGGGAACAGCGAGTTGGTTGGGGGTTAGGAGGTCACAGAGGTAGGGTGGGGCGAGGCCATGGAGGGCTTTGTATGTGAGGACCAGGATCTTGAACTGGATCCTCTGAAGGATAGGGAGCCAATGGAGTCGGGTGAGAATAGGGGAGATGGGGGTCACGGAGTTTGGTGCAGGAGAGGACATGCCTGCAGAGTTCTGGATTATCTGCAGCCTGTGGAGGGAGGAGTTGGGAAGGCCGACAAGCAGGGCGTTTGCATAGTCGAGCCTGGAGGTGATGAAGGCATGAACAAAAGTTTCAGCGGCCTGAGGGGTGAGGTAGTGGCGGAGTCGGGCAATGTTACAGAGGTGAGCGAAGGCAGAGGGGGTCATGGATTGAATGTGGAGGAGAAAAGACAGTTGAGGGTCGAACAAGACACCGAGGTTCCTGACTGGCTTGGTGAGTTGTAGTGTGCAACCATGAAAATTGATGCTGCCAGAGCCTGAGGTGCTGACGCGAGCCAATCAGAAGGACCTCAGTCTTGTTCACATTCAACTGCCCTAATCCAGGACTTGATGTCCAACTGGTAGTCTGTTAAAAGCTTTTTGCAAACAGTTATCCTGCTATCCATTACCTTACATGATGTTTGCCAAGATATGTTCGGAAGCATGCTCTATGGAAAGGCAAAAACATTTAAGCACCACTCAGCAGCAATGCTAATAATAAAATATTATTATGGCTAATACAGGAACTAAAAAAAAAAAAGTAGCTGTTCACAGTATATCTTGTGATGCCTGGTGGAAATACAAAGTAAAATGAGTAAACCTAACTTTTTTTAATTCTAGACATTTAATGCTAATTTTGTTGTGGGTTTCTGCATTGAATCAATAATAATAATCCTTGAATTTGATATAGCGCTTTTTATGTCTTCTAGACATCTCAACGCGCTTCACAGAATATACTTATATATAATATATATAATTCATGTCCCCCCGCCTTATCACGTCATCGAGACGTCTCAAAGTGCTTCACAGGATATAATGTAAAATGGTTTGACTGTATATTTTGTGGTTGAATCGCAGCAGCTAGTTTCCACGCAGCAATGTCCCACAAACAGCCATGGAGTGAGTAATCAATTTTATTTGGTGGATTATTGGCCAGGATACCAGGAGAAACTTCCTTCTCTTTTCGAATAGTGCCATGGGATCTTTAACATCCACCTAAATAGGTAGACAGGACCTCGGTCTAATATCTCATCTAAGGACAGCACCTCCGACAGTGCAATATACCTCCAGCACTGCATTGGAGGGTCAGCTTAGACCATGAGATTCCAATTCCCTTTAAAAATAATAATAATTTTGTCACTCAATCCACTGCTGTATGCAATTGGCTGCCGCGTTTCTCCCACAAAATACACAATCAATTCACTTTACAGTATATTCTGTGAAGCGCTTTGAGACGTCTCAAAGACGTGATAAGATGCTATACCAAATGCAAGGATTATTATTCCTTATTAAAGGAAGCCCATTAAGAAATTATGGAATCCCATTAATACAGTAAAATAATAATGAATAATTAAATAAATGGAATAATAATAAATACATTTATGTAATTTTCAAAATAAATACAATTATCTGTATATATTTTACAGTCTAATGTTTGGTCATTTTACTTGACAGGAGATTAATTGAATTGAAGCATGGCTACAGTAAGGCATCTGGAACTGCTGTAGTTTGCCCATTCATAAAGAAAAATTTCATAATTTCCTCAACTTGTTTGCATAATAAAGATATTACTGATAGCCAAAAAGAAACCATCTTAATTTAGGGGCATCATTTTTTAAGCATGTGTTGCAGCTTAAATAATATAATATAATAATACTTGCATTTGATATAGCGCCTTATCACATCATCGAGATGTCTCAAAGCGCTTCACAGAATATACTGTAAAGTGAATTGAGTGTACATTTTAAATGAAATTTTACGATTGTGCGCAATTGGCTGTCGTGTTTTGGCCACAAAATATACAGTACCGCTATATCAAAGGTTATATGCAAGGACTATTATTATTATCATTTTGTGGGAGAAATGCTACTTGTATCTACAGTTTATAGAAGAGCTACAAGTGGTATCACTTCTGCACTATTGCTAAAGCTATTAAGAAGCTCATGAACATTATTTAAGCACGCAGTCATGCAACCAGCCTTTACATGGGATTTAGGAAAATATGGAGGGCAGACCCACTCACTGTGGCCTTGTAAGACTTCCATTGATGACTTGTGGTCATTGATGTCTGTTGGGGAGAGGGTCATATGCAAATCCAGCATGCACCATTGCAAAAAAACAAATAACAAATAAGCACAATAATAGCACAGGTAGAACAGAGAAGGTAGGTTAGAGAGTAAAGAAATACTTTTATTAATACCAATTTGATTAAAAATAGACATAGTGTAGATGACAGAGATTAGAAGAAAAAGTATAAGTGCTAGAAACATAAATAAAATTGGAACATTCTGGCAATGCACAGCATGTGAAAGCGAAAGATAAGTTAATAATCCTTCATTAGAACTGATGAGCTGAAAAAGTCACAACTGGACTGTTAAACTTCTTTCTCTTTTAGCTGGTGATTATCTGCAGTTATTGGATTTATGTTACATGATAGAAACATTTTGGCCTTCAAAAACCTGCAAGATATATCAGTGCTGTAGCATGCGTCCAAGCAGGGAATACTTCTAGATCCTATGAGAAAGGCGGCGTCTATGTGCATTTGTACCTTGCCTGATCTGCTCTACCTTCAATGGACGAGCTTTCAGCTATTCTTTCCTCTCTGAAATTCTATCCCGAAATTCCTCCACCTCGCACTTTCCTCCCAACTGTGAAGTGCACCTTAAGACTGAGCTCTTGATTGTGCTTTTGGTCAACTTTCCCCCACCCTCTTCAACTCCCTGTCTCTCCATAGGTTTATTAGGCTTAGTAACACAGAAGCAGCTGTGTGAAGCACTTTGAAAAGTCCTCCCTATTTGAAAGGTGCTATAGAAATTGTTGTTGTTACATGTAGGAGATGATGTCCTAAGGGGCATATTTATTAATCAAACTAAGCTTGGCAACTGAAACAAATACCATTGCGTTTTGTACAGCACAAACACTGGATCATTGACTCCTAGTTCTGCTACAATAAATGAGAACATTATCAGCTGGGTTACCAGCTTCGTGACATCTCTACTAAGAAAATGAGCAATAAAACAAAGACATCAAAATCGGAAAGGTTTCCAAGCATAAGAACATAAGAAATGTTGGATGAAAAAAGCCCAAGGTCCATCTAGTTTGCTTTCCACCTTCCTAGCGGTCGCATGCACAGATGTCCCATACTACCCACGTACTATATCCCATAATGTTATTTCCTAAAAGAAAACTATCTAATTTGTGTTTGAAAGAATCAACACTTCCTGTTCCACAGGTTCACTATTCGCTCATTGAAATAGTGTTTGCGTAGATTTGTTCTGAATTTTCCCCCCTTCAATCCCAGGCTGTGTCCTCTGGTTTTACTATTCTGGACAAGTTGAAACAGCCTGTCATGATGTATATGGATGTTTCTCGAAATGGAAGGAGGTGTGCAGCGGTGTCTCCCAGGGATCGGTATTGGGACCACTGCTCTTTCTAATGTATATTAATGATCTGGACTTGGGCATAGAGAGCACTATTTCCAAGTTTGCAGATGATACAAAGATAGGTAGGGTAGTAAATAGTGAGGAGGACTGTAACCAACTGCAAGCAGACATACACAGAATGGTGGAATGGGCTGACATGTGGCAGATGGATTTCAATGTGGATAAGTGTGAGGTGATACACTTAGGTAGGAAAATGATAGGAGGCAATATAGACTTGGTAGCTCAATCTTAAGGGGGGGTGAACGTACAGAGAGATCTGGGTGTTCAAGTAAGCAAATCATCAAAGGTAGCGGGGCAGGTAGATAAGGCAGTAAAAAAGGCATTTCATAGAATCATAGAATGTTACGGCACAGGAGGAGGCCATTCGGCCCATCGAGTTTGTGCCGGCTCTTTGACAGAGCAACTGACTTTTATTAACCCCACTCACCAGCTTTCTCCCCATAACCCTGCAAACCTGTCTTCCTGGTGTACTGAGCTTTATTAGTAGGGGCATACAGTATAAGAGTAGGAAGGTTATGGTTAATCTAATCAAAACACTGGTTAGGCCTCAGCTGGAGTACTGCGTCCAGTTCTGGGCACCTTACCTCAGGAAGGACATTAAGACACTGGGAAGGGTGCAGAGGAGATTCACGAGAATGATACCAGGAATGGGGAACCTTAGCTATGAGGACAGGCTGGAGAAGTTAGGACTTTTCCCATTAGAGCAGAGAAGGTTACACGGGGACCTGATAGAGGTCTTCAAGATCATGAAAGATTTTGACAGGCTAGATAGGCAAAAGCTGTTTCCGCTGGTAGGTGTGTCTGTGACCCGTGGTCACAGACTTAAGATATAATAATAATAATAATCCTTGCATTTGATATCGCGCTTTTCACGTCTTCTAGACATCCCAAAGCGCTTCACAGAATATACTGTAAAGTGAATTGACTGTATATTTGTGGGCGAACGCGACAGCCAATTGCGCACAGCAATGTCCCACAAACAATCGTAGATTGAAACTGAACGATTTATTATTGATTTTTGTTTTGGAGGGATTATTATTAGGCGTGGAGTAAGGAAACTTGCCCAAGGTTTCGCCCTGCCTGGAATTTCCTTCCTATTTTCAAAGATTCACAATTTTACTACTTTTCCTGAAGACCCTTACAAGTTATCTTGACTCTTGATTTTCCAGATGTGCCGCTGGGAAAGATGGAGGATGCTCGTGGATGATTTGTACTGTATACAACTGAATCCATTTCATTTTACCAGAACAGTTCCACAAAAATTGCTACGGTCACAATTAATCCAGAAAATAAGATTATTCGCATTTGGTACAGTTAGAATTCTTCTCAGTGAAACGTTATTTATAAATAACACTTTATTCAGATTCCTGAAAGTGGGGTCAAGGCACAGCAGAGCAGTACTAAGTGACAACATCACCTTGGGCTGAATTAGCTGATATCTACAGTGGACTGTGGAATAGGCGCTATAATTAGAACTCCTGTGTTGGGGAAGGGAAAATCACTCAGGATTCCAGCTCTGATAACTATACCACAACCCCCATGGAACCATGTTTGTATGGGTGAGGCAGATTGGCGTCAGCAGTCATGACCCTCATAGTCGAAACGCCTGCTGACACTCACATTTAAGGCTCATACATGAAAAATTGTCATTTGAGGTGAGGAACAGGAGTTCAAATGGTGCCTCTGGAACAGTACCCCAATACAATAAACAGTTAACACTTGAAGTTAACACTGAAAATAAAATAGGAGAAACTTGGTGAAAAATTGAAATCAAGTGAAAATAAAAAATCCATTGACAAATGCCCCAACTCTACATCCAGGAAATCCTCTGTTCTGTAATGCCACCTTCAAAGAATCAATGGATAAACTTACAGTGTTTTTCAGATCAATTTCTCTGGAAACCAAGATAACTGTCATGAACAGGCTCCCCAGAGCTTGAGTAGGATAGCTCGGGTCCTTCAGGTTTAAAGTAACATCAGTGAGTCTGAAAAAAAGTATATCAGTACAAGAGGACATAGTTTAAGAGTTGCAAAGAGCAATTTCAGCAAACCCCAAAACATTTTTTCATTACCCAGAAGGTAATTAATGAATGGAACACGTTTCCAGGGAGGATGGATGTCTGGATGCTGCACTCATGGAACAATGATCCTTGCATTTGGAACACTTCACTATGGGGGGGCGCGGGTGGTGTTTCTTCACTAGCCAGGGGTGGGGTCAGAGTCCCACCAACATGGGATCCCACTGACATGCAAGACCCTTTTAATGTCCCCAGAGACATACTAGGGCCTGAAGCTCATCCAGTTCACAGAGTTTTAGCTAGAATTCGATACGTAGATGCTACAGGCTAGAAACAAGCTATTTAACCAACTAATCTGTGCTGGTGTTTATACTCCACATGAGCCTCCTTCCATACTCCTCTATTCCCTTGTCCTGCACAAATAACATCTCTTAAAATATTCATATCTAGAGTTTTCTGTTATCATCATAGAATCACATAATTATACAGAACAGAATGAGGCCATTCGGTGCATCAAAAAGAGCCACCAAAATCAATCCCATTCTCCCGCTCTTTCCCCATAGCCCTGCAAACTTGTCCTCCCCAAATAATTATCTACTTCCCTCTTAAAAGTTGTTATTGAATCGGCTTCCACCACCCTTTCAAGCAATGCATTCCAGATCCGAACAACTCGCTGTGTGAAAAAATGTCTCCTCACCTCCCCTGTTTCTTTTAACAACTATTTTAAATCAGTACCCTCGAGTTACCCACCCACCCACCAGTGGAAATAGTTTTCCCTTACCCTATCGAATCCTCTCATAATTTTGAAAACTTCTATTCTTTCTCCTCGTAACCTTCTCTGCTCCAGGGAGAATAATCCTCGCTTCTCTAGCTTCTCCTGATAACTGGAGTCCCTCATTCCTGGTACCATCCTGGTAAATCTCCTTTGCACCCTCTCCAATGCCTTGACATCCTTCCTAAAGTGTGGTGCTTAGAAATGAACACAGTACTCCAGCTGAGGCCTAACCAGTGTTTTATAAAGGTTCATCATAACTTCCTGACTTTTGTATTCTATGCCCCAAGTTATAAAGCCTAGTATCCCGTACACTTTTTAACAGCTTTATCTACCTGTCCTGCCACCTTCAAAGATTTACTTATATGAAACCCCAGGTCTCTCTGTTCCTTCACCCCCTTTAAGATTGTACCGGCAGCTTATATTTCAGGTAATATAAAGCTTGAGGCGGCAGGGAGTTCAGCTAGGGGGTGGTGGTGGTGGGGTGGAGCGGGGGAACCACTGACATCATAGTTCACATTTAGGAGTTTGCGCACGCAAAAAAAAAAAAAATCCTCTGCGCCCCCCCCCAGGGAACACTATGTTCCTGTTGGGTTGGCTGCCCCAGCCTATGGGTTAATGTCGCCCACCTGACCGCTCGCTCCCGGTCCCCGTGTGCGCACTATGGCTGCAGCTCTGACCCGAACCCCCTCACCCCCTCCATCCCCCCAAACCCTCACCCTCTGCATCTCTCCCGCTCTGTCCTCCTCTCTCTCCATCTCCCTCGCCTTCTATCCCCACTTGATCCTCCCACAACCTCCCTCTGTTCCAGCCTGGGAATCCTCCGCCGGGCTCACCGTGGCACTCGGCGTTAACTGTCCAGCAGCAGCCACACCGACTGCCCCATTCCCCATCACACTCGCCAGCCACCCCGGACACAGACCCGGGGAGCCAACCTCTCCTCCCTCATCCCCATTCCCCCCACCCCTGCCTCACAACCTGGACCCCCCTCCCTCCCCACACACCCTTCTGTCAACCGCTCCCTCCACATTGGACTATAAAATGTCCGCTCCCTCAGTAATACGTCCCTGGTCATCAACGATCTCATCCTTGATGAGAGCGTTGACATCATGGCCTTAACTGAAACCTGGCTCACCCCAGGCGACACCTTCCCCCTCACGGAGGCCACACCACCCGGCTACACCTCTCACCACATCCCTCACCCCAACCGCCGTGGCGGTGGTGTAGCCCTTATCTCAAGGACACCACTTGCCCTATCCCCCTACTCCTCTGGCTCTTTCCCCTCTTTTGAGCACCTCACCCTCTCCCACCCCTCCCATCTCTCAATCAAAATTCTCCTCCTCTACCACCTTCATCTCCGATATTTCTACCCTCCTAACATCTCTCTGCCTCTGCTCTGATCGCCTCATCATCCTGGGCGACTTCAACCTGCACTTCACCCCCTCCTGCTCCATCTCCTCGGACTTCTCCTCCCTCCACTCCTCGCTCAACCTCTCCCTCCATATCAACTCCGCCACTCACATTCACGGCCACCCACTCGATTTGGTGATCACTCGGGGCCTCAGTGTCTCAGATGTCACCATTACCGACACGGCCGTCTCTGATCACCACTTCATCTCCTTCACCATGTCCACACCCCTCCCTACCTCCACCAGACCCACCACCATCTTCTACCGCCCCTGAAAGAAGTTACCCCCTCAATCCCTAACCGCTGCCTTGGAGTCCTCTGAACTCCTCTCCCTCTGGCCTTCATCCTTCACTGACCCCTCTTCTGCTCTCACCCTCCTCCACAACACCCTCTCCTCCACACTCGACACTCTTGCCCCCATCACCTCCCGTACTGTCTCTTATTCTCGCTCCTCCCCCTGGTTCACCACCCACCTCCGCTCACTGAAGAGCCAGGTGCGGGCCGCTGAACGCACCTGCCTCAAATCTGGCCTAACGGTCCACCGGCAAATCTGGCTGGACCTCCTCAAAATCTACCGCTCCACTCGGCCAAGTCGTCCTTCTACTCCAGGATAATCCTGGAGGCGAAGAACAACCCGACGCTTCTGTTCTCCTACACATCCCGACTCATCCGTCCCCCCCGCCACCCCGCGCAGGTCATCTCCTCCAACCTTCACTGCAAGGAGATGCTGGATTTCCTTGAATCCAAAATCAAGGGAATCCGCTCCGCGGTCACTCCCCCTCCAACTTCCACCCACCTCCCACCCCTTCCCTCCCACACTCCGACTCCTACCCATCCTCCCCTACACACCTTCAAACCCGTTTCCCCACCCTCTGTCACCAAACTCATCCTGTCCTTGAAACCCACCACCTGCTCCCTGGACCCCACTCCACTCCTTATCTCCCAGCTCCACCTCCTTGCCACTTCTCACAGACACCATTAACCTGTCCCTCTCCTCTGGCTCTGTTCCCATTCCCTCAAAACTGCCACCATCACTCCCATATTGAAAAACCCTCCCTTGATGAGTCTCAACTATCAAGCTACCGGCCCATCTCCAACCTCCCCTTCCTGTCCAAGGTTCTCGAAAGAGTCGTCGCCTCCCAGCTGCGCTCTTTCCTCTCCACCCACTCACTTTTCGAACCCCTCCAGTCGGGATTCTGTGCTGCCCATAGCACAGAAACCGCCCTGGTCAAGGTCACCAATGACATCTTGACCATCTGTGACCAGGGCTCCCTCTGCCTCCTTGTCCTCCTCGACCTATTGGCCGCATTCGATACGGTCGACTACTCTATCCTCCTCCACCGCATGTCCTCCCACCTCAACCTTCAAGGCCCTGTCCTTGAATGGTTTAGGTCGTACCTCTCCCACCGTCTTCATTTTGTCTCTGCAAACGGCTTTTCCTCCAGCCCCCGCACTGTCTTGTGCGGTGTCCCTCAGGGCTCTGTCCTCGGTCCCCTCCTCTTCACCCTCTATATGCTCCCCCTGGTGACATCATCCACAGACATGGGGTTAACTTCCACATGTATGCGGCTGACACCCAACTCTACCTTTCCTCTTCTACCCTCAACTCCACGACCACCGATGTCCTGACAGCCTGTCTGTCTGACATTGAGTCCTGGACGAGAGACAACTTTCTTCAGCTCAACGTGCGAAAAACTGAGGCCCTCCTGATTGACTCGCGTCAGCGCTTCCGTACCTCGGGCGCTGACAGCATCAGCATCTAAGGCTGCACTCTGCACCTCTCAAAGGCAGTCAGGAACCTCGGCGTTCTGTTCGACCCTGAGCTGTCCTTTCTCCCTCATATCCGCGCCACAACTGGCACCGCCTTCCATCACCTCCGGAATGTCGCCAGACTACGGCACTACCTCACCCCTCACGCTGCTGAAACTCTGGTCCACGCCTTTATCACCTCAAGGCTGGACTATGGGAACTCTCTCCTCGCCGGCCTTCCCGGCACCTCCCTCCACAAGCTGCAGGTCATTCAGAACTCTGCAGCTCGTGTACTGTCCCGCACCAGGCTTCGCGACCACATCACTCCCACCCTCGCTCACCTCCACTGGCTCCCCATCCCCATTCAAGATGCTCATCCTCACCTACAAGGCCATTCACGGCCTTGCTCCCTCCTACCTCTCCGACCTACTATCCCCCTACTTACCCTCCGTTCCTCTGGCTCCGGTCTGCTCCACATCCCCCGCCCTAACCGCCCTACCATCGGTGGTCGGGCCTTCAGCCTCTCAGACCCGAGGCTCTGGAACTCTATCCCCCAGTGCCTTCGCCGCCTCCTCCCTTTCCTCTTTCAAGGCCGGTCTCAAGACCTTTCTCTTTGACCGAGCCTTCAGCTCCCCTCTCGACTCTCTACCCCCTCCTCGCTCCCTCCCTTCCCTCCCCTCACCCTGACCAGTTCCCCCCTGCTCGGGTCCTGACCCAACTGTACAGCGCCGTGGGATGTCCTCCCGACGTGAAAGGCGCTCTATAAATGCAATCTTGTTGTTGTTGGTGTATATTGCCTCTCCTCATTCTTCTTCCCAAAATGCATCACTTCACATTTCTCTACATTAACAACAACAACAAAATTACATTTATAGAGCGCCTTTCACGTCGAGAGGACGTCCCAAAGCGCTGAACAGTCAGGTGTCGGGGCTTGAGCATGAGGGAGGGGTGGTGAAGGGGTGAGGGAAGGCGGAGAGGTCGGAGGGAGATCAAAGGCACGGTCGAAGAGAACGGTCTTGAGAGGTCTTCAAGGAGGCAAGGGAAGAAGCGAGGAGAAGGGACCATGGGATGGAGTTCCAGAGTAAGGCGGGTCGGGCGGGAGACATGGAGTAGGCCGGAGCCAATGAACGGAGGGAGCGGGCAGGTTGGTAGGGAGTCAGCAGGTCAGAGAGGTAGGAGGGGGTAAGGCCAAGGATGGCCTTAAAGTTGAGGACGAGGATCTTGAACTCGATCTTCTGGGGTATGGAGAGGCAGTGAGGTCAGGCGAGGGTGGGAGTGATGGGGTCACGGAGCCTGGTGCGTGAGAGTACACGAGCTGCAGAGTTTTGGATGACCTGCAGCTTGTGAAGGGAAGAGTTGGGGAGGCCGATGAGGAGGGAGTTCCCGTAATCGAGCCTTGATGTGACGAACGAGTGGGTGAGGGTTTCGGCAGCCTGAGGGGTGAGGCAGTGGCGGAGTCTGGCAATATTGTGGAGGTGGTGGTGGGCAGTGCTGGTCATGGCGCGCATGTGGGGGAGAAAGGACAGTTCAGTTCAAACAAGATTCCCAGGTTCCTGACTGGCTTAGTGAGGTTGAGGGTGCAGCCATGGAGGCTGATGCTGCCAGCGCCTGAGGTGCGGAGTCGCTGGCGCGAGCCAATTAGAGGGGCCTTGGTCTTGCTGACGGTGAGTTGGAGAAAGTTGGCCCTCGGCCAGGACTTGATGTCGGACAGGCAGACAATCAGGACGCCAGTAGTTCTGGAGTTCAGGGTGGAGGCAGAGAGGTAGAGTTGGGTATCATCCGCATACATGTGGAAATTTACCCCATGTCTGTGGATGATATCACCAAGGGGGAGCATATAGAGGGTGAAGAGGAGGAAACCAGATAAACTTCATCTGCCATGTGTCTGCCCATTTTACCGGTCTGTCTATGTCCCCTTGCAGTCTGCTACTATCCTTCTCACTGTTTACTACTACTCTCTGCTTTCTGTCTCCCAGCCAGTTCTGTATCCATGCTGCCACTGTCCCTTTAATATTGTGGGCTTCTATTTTGCTTACAAGTATCTTATGTGGCACTTTATCAAATGCTTTTTGAAAATCCATATAAATTACATCAACTGCACAAACTTCATCCACTATCTTATACTGAGGGCTGATGAAAAACTGGAGCTTATATCAATGAGAGATTAAAATGCATAACCCAGCTCTAATAGCAAATACCTTTTCAATTCCAGTTTGCTTAGATCCAGATAGGCTGATCCCATGAAGTCATCTTGTAAACCAAAGTCATAATCATAGACCTGCAGGAGAGAAGTCATAGCAGAAAAGTAATGTTGAGGTAAACAACCAAAACTTGATAATAAGAATATTAAAAATATATAACATATAAAATATTTTTTAAAAAATTTTTTTTTGAATTTTTAAAATCCTATTTTCAGTTTCTGAACATTTCACATGAACACATGGAGACAAAAGGAAATTATATGTAAATTCCACAATATGTGATAGAGTGCATGCATCCAATAAAATATGAAGTTTGTTACACACCAACCACTAACAACTTGAGTGTTTTGGTGCATCTGTAAAAGAATTGGCCTGTGATAGACCCAATGACTCTGGATTGTACTTAGTCATTGAGGAGAAAAGTACTGTGATAACAGCCCCTAATTTATACTGAGTGGACTGGCAAGAGGACTGATGTCCTACATCTGGAGAAGTACCAGATTCTCCAATTTTGTAAGGCAAAAAATCCTGAAATGAAAAAGGACATTGCCTCCAAATTTGATCTGAAGCAACAGACTTTGAATGATTTCCTTGTGGTATTGTGCAGTATATGGTAAAGTGAGGCCTGTTTCAACTCAGCCCACATAGCAGGGATGCTCCCATTTCTCTAATTTATGAGTCCATTAATCAATCATTCACCACAAGTGGAGCAAACACACAGTTAATTAAAGAAGGAAGAGCTTTCGGTTGAGGCTGGAGTTTTCTCCCGTTTGTATAACCTTTCTTTAAAGTTTTACAAATATGTTAGTGTTGGATTGAATGTGTCTCTCCCAAACATTCTTCTTCCTTTTAGGGAGAATATCCATCTATTTGTAAATATAGGACGCACTATCGGACCCACTGGCTCTGAGCATCGCACCAAACCCTGATAGGTCTGTAATACAGTACAATATAATACAATACAATTTATATACAGCACGATTCACATCAGGATTACACTTCAAGGGGGTTTAATGATACCGGACAGGGGGGTGGGAGCCGAGTGCGAAGGCGCGGACGATCGAGTACATTTCGAGATGCGGCTGGAGGAGGTGGGACCCGATCACCGGGGGAGTAACTCACCGGCCGGCGGCTCAACGTAACTGATTCAGAATCACACGGAGCCGACCGCTGAGGTTTAAACCCACACAGGGCTCTGAGCCAGTGAGGGCCTTGTGGTGATTGGCCCCGGACCCCTCATCGTCATTGTGTCTTCATAATAGGCTACGTTCCAGACCAGTGACCAGTCGCTCTGGTCAGCGACCGACTGATCGACCGACCGCTCGGGACAGTGAATCATTTTGAATAATTTTGTACATCTCTACCAGGTGGTCCTCTCTCAACCTTCTCTGCTCCAATGATAAATAGACCCAACTTCTCAAACTCTCACCATAACTGAAGACCCTCATGACCACCGTCTGTTCCTATAAGCCCACATCCTACAAATACAGTCAGTATTTACACTTTACAGTAAATCCTGTGAAGATCTTCGAGAATTCAAGACATGATAAAGTGCTCTCTATAAAATGCAGGGATTATTATCTATTATTATTATACTAATAATCTACTGATGCAGTTGTGAGAGCACCACAAGCTAAGTCAGGCTGACACACATCAATCATTTATTGTATAAGGTTATTATTAGTAATATAAATAATAACAACAATAATAATCCTTGCATTTGATATAGCGCCTTATCACGTCTTCAAGACGTCTCAAAGCACTTCACAGAATACACTGTAAAGTGAAATGACTGTATATTTTGTGCGCGAAACAATAGTAGAAAGCATATGAAACATTTAATAAAAAGATAGAACTTTAAGAGCATAAACATAATTACATCTGGTGTCAACAGATCAAATGAGCTGGATGTGGTACACATTGCAGTGTAACACCTAATATAACCAGCAGATGGAGCTCGCACATCAGTAGTGGTTTTTAATGGGGACTAAAATGTGTTACTTAACGTGGATGCACGTATTACTGCTGATTTCTGTAGTGTAACATACATTGAGTAAAAAGGGTTAAAATATAGTGCAATATAACAAATATTCAGTAAGTTGTTCGGTGGGACTGAAGTGAACAGTTTTGAAGTCGAGCATTGCTCCAATAAGAGATTCCATTGTATTACAACAACTTGTATTTATCTCGTGCCCTTCACGGAGGGGTAACATCTCTGAGCGCTTCATAGGGATGAGGTTGGATGCTGAGCAAGGGAGAGAGGGAAGTCGTGAGGTACTCAGGGACTCTACTGCTGAGTTGAGAATAATAAACCTTTGCATGTTCCCTACCTTTACGTACAAGGGCTCTGCAATGTTTTCAATTAGAAGAGTGGTTTCCTCATTCCACACTGGGTTGAGGTTCTTGTGAATGGTTTTGCTCCTGAAAACCTCTTTTCCTGCTATTTTGAACTTCACATATGGATCACTGGTACCTGAAACAGCAGAAGAGAAAGTTCAAGGTTAACAATATTAATTTTAAATGAGCAAGTGAATACTTTCAGCACTCCAATACACTATCTTGCATGAAACACAACAACAACTCGCATTTATGCAGCACCTTTCATGTGGTCTAGGGTCCTGGAGCACTTATCAATGAAAGGTCCATTTTTAAACATATCCTGGGTGATGATACCATATTACATTTCAGAAGTATTCCACTCATTTTAAATATTTTTTCCCTAATATCCTTTTGTCTCGGTTTCTTTTCTTTGCATTCCCAGCAAGTACACCTAGCTAGCTCCTTAAACAGCTTTTCCAGCACGTTGGGACATCCCCCTGACATAAAAGGTGTTATATAAAGGCAATTTGTTGTTGTTATTTTCTCAGACCTCCCAGAATGTGTGTGCCATTTTACAACTGAACATTGGGTGGTGCACAAGTCCTGGGATGACTTCCCTGTGAGGAAGCTCCTGACTGCTCAACACTTCCTATATCTGCATGGCTGAGATCACTTATTTATGTCGAATTAATGTCTTTGCAATATATTGTTTAGGATTTCCAACAACAGCGATGTTGCTAACAGCAACTCCCCTCACAGAATTGCTCACATTAAGTGAAAATAGCAATCGTTGTGTTGGTGTGGCAAATCTATCCCTTGTGCCCGCTTCACTGCTTTTACCAAAAATAAGGTTTGTACACATCTTTATAGTTAGCTTCATTGCCTAACATGTCAACATTACTTCAAAGTTAACGTGTTAAGGAAGGCAAGATACAATAGGAAGTCAAAACATATTTTGAATGTTTTATTAACAAAAAAATTCCCAAGCAGGAGACGCCCTCCCGACGTGAAAGGTGCTTTACAAATGTAATTTTGTATTGTATTGTATCATGCGATTTTGCATTTTACACTCACATACAGAAATGCCAGAAATGACATTTCACAAAGGAATTTTAGTGTTGGAACGGGCATGCATTAGGCCCTGGTCAAATATCACCCATTCTATTTCACAGTATTTTCAAACTCTTGATACAATTAACTGTAACTAAAGTGTTATACCAGAAGCTGCACACTTCATTGCTAACATTTCAGTTAGAGCATCTCTGGATAAGAATATTCTTGAAGAGTGATGATGATTGCAAAAAGCACTTAATTGGCTCATCTGATATAGTAAGTGCACTGAATGTAGCTCAAGTCCCTGCTGATAAATGCATTATTTATGTGGACTTTATGCTACAATTCATTTGTTAATGTCTTCTGCAGAATTATTGAACCATTGTGGTCAAATCAACATTTGCTGTTCCCCACGAGCCAGTTTGATGCAGAAACTGCCTTTATAATAATTGATAGATGTTTCTGTTACTGATAGAAAAATGCTATCAGTCTCTTTTGTAAGTTTTTGAGTTCTTCACAATGCAATATAACAAGGCTGACCAGCATTCCTCAGCACGATATTAGTATTTTAATACAATCAAAGTGACATTGATAAGCTGTTATACATACAACCGAGATGCATAGTTCGGATTCAAAGGTGATTAAATCCTTCCACCGGGAGAGATGGTGACCGCTTAGATACGTCAATCCTTGCCCTTCTCCTCCTGTGGCGGTCTCTTGCTCTCCTATCGATGTATTGGGTATTATTACACTTTTATCGTGCACTCTCATGCCAGCCCCTGACCAGGTATCACCAATGGTTTCACAGAAACTACTGACCAGCTCATGCTGGTTTTTCCTTTGTTTCACATTTGCATTCCTTCAGGCCTTCTTAAACACTTTTGACACCCTCTTATCAAAAGAGGCTGTCTTTGTTCATCCTGCCTCCTGGAGCCATACGTCTGCCACCATTAAATTCTCCTTCAAAATATACACAGGCTGAAGAAAAAAAGGCTCTCGTCCTCTCTCAGGGAAAACAACCTGCTTGAGATGAGAAGGTGGGGTGGCTGCAGCCGTACTTTTTCTTTCAGGATACACTAAGTGTGCGCATAAAGCGCACCGAGCAAAAATCACCAGTTTACACTTTCGGAATCAGTTTTTACTTCATACACCTTATTCCACTTTCTATCTGAATCAGTGTACAACTGTTCATTGCTGATGTACTTCATTCAAAAAATATAACCTTGCTACCATAAAACATTTTTTAGGATTTGTTAAAGACATTGGCCCTACAAAATATACAGTCACTACACTTTCCCTTATATCTTGTGAAGTGTTTAAGACATCCTCCTGACATGAAATGCGCCATATCAAATGTAAGGATAATTATTATCATTATCCCTCAAATCCCTCCACAGACAGTCTCACCACAACTACCCTCTGCAACCTCCTTCAACCACACTAACCAGGCTGCTGCCTTCATTCAGCAAACACTGTTTCATGTCCCCTGTCCTGTCTGTTCCACATTTCCACATGTGTGCGGATGACACCCAACTCTTATCTCGCCGCCTCCATCCTCGACTCCAGGACAGTTGACGTCCTGGCAAATTGTCTTTCTGACATCAGGTCCCGGATGAGAGCCAATTCCTCCAGTTCAAAACAGAAACAGAAGTCACTGGGAACACTCACTGGGAGGTTTACTGGACTATGTGGGGGAGCTCTGTAAATAAATATAATTAATAAACTTTAAAAAAAAGTACAACTGTGGAGCACTTCTAATGGAAAACCCCGCCACAAAATACTGTAGATGCTGGAAATCTGAAACAAAAACAGAAGTCGTTGGGAACACTCAGCAGGTGAGGCAGGATTTATGGAGAAAAGAAAGCGAGTCAACGTTTCAGGTCCACGATTCTTCATCAGAACTGGGGCATGTCCTCCCAACATGTCCTCCCAACATGCCCCAGTTCTGACGAAGAGTAGTGGACCGGAAATGTTGACTCACTTTCCTTTCTCCATAGATGCTGCCTGACCTGTTGAGTGTTCCCAGTGACTTCTGTTTTTGTTTTCAGATTTCCAACATCTGCAGTATTTTGGGTTTTGTTCCTCCAGCTCAATGTTGGCAAGACAGAGGCCCTCCTGCTTGGCTCCTGGCAGCACCTCCTCACCTCAGCTGCTGACACTATCACCATTCACCTCACTGAGCCAATACGAAACCTCAGTGTCCCGTTTGACCCTCAGCTATCCTTCAAACCCCACATTCATGCCATGATCTGTTTCGCCTTTCCACACCTCTGCAACATTGCCCGCCTCCGCCACTGCCTCTCACCACAGGCCGTGGAGACCCTGATCCACGCTTTCATCATGTCCTGGCTTGACTATCCCAACTGCTTGCTCGCTGGACTTCCCAACTCTTCCCTCCACAAGATGCAGATTATTAAAAACTTTGCAGCTTGTGTCCTCTCCCGTACCAGGCTCCGCGAACCAATCACCCTCGTTCTTGCCTGGCTTCACTGGCTCCCTATCCTGCAGAGAATCGAGTACAAAACCCTCATTCTCACCTTCAAGGTCATCCATGGTCTTGCTCCTCCCTATCTCTCCGACCTCCTAACCTTATATTAACAGCCTGTCCGCTCCCTCTGCTCTGTGGACACTGGCCTGCTTCAGGTCCCCCGCACTTCCTGCCCCACCACTGGTGGTTGGGCATTCAGCATCTCTGCCCCCACACTCTGGAACTATCCCGCAATCCCTCCAGCTCAGCCCCTCTCTTGCCTCTTTCAAGTTCCGTCTAAAGACCTTCCTCTTTGACCGTTCCTTAGGCCACCTTCCCAGCCCCACCCCCACTGCCCTCCTCCTCTCGTGACCCCAACTCGCAGCTCGGGTCCAAAACCCCAGACTGTCCAGCGCTCTGGGACATCTTTCCAACGTGAAGGGCGCTATACAAGTGTCGTTTGTTGTTGTTTGGAACTCTCTCCCGAGTCCCAAAAATGTTCTCCCTCCCTCACCTTAATCAAGCCATATTTCAAGACCTACCTCTTTGACAACAGTTTCGATCATCGTTCCCTTCCCCACCCAGCTTCTCTCCCACCCAACTCACTGGAAACATCCCTGGAAAGAATCACTATACAATATAATAATAATAATCCTTGCATTTGATATAGCGCTTTTCATGTCTTCTCGACGTCTCAAAGAGCTTCACAGAATAGACTGTAAAGTGAACTGACCGTATATTTGTGGGCGAAACGCGGCAGCCAATTGCGCACAGCAGTGTCCCACAAACAGTCGCGGATTGAAAATGACCAATTTATTATTGTTTTTGTTTTTTTGGAGGAATTATTATTATGCACCCAGAAAACAAACTTGCACCATCTTTTTATAACCATCTTCTCCCGACTTGTCTCCTTCTCTCCAGCACCCAGCTGTAGTCTGGTGCTCATTACCATGTTATGCTCAATTAGCAGTTAGGGCTCGAACTCCATACCAGTCTGATTGGTGTCCAGTTCTTGATTGAAGCACTTTTTTTTAAAATGAGTCACAAAAAACACGCTGCTTTACACATACATTGAACGCCAATAACCATAGAAAGCCATTTTTAAAAATAATAATCCCTGCATTTGATATAACTCCTTATTGTGTCTTTGAGTCATCTCAGAGTGCTTCACAGAATATACTGTAAAGTGAATTGACCGTATATTTTGTGGGTAAAACATGGCAGCCAATTACGCACAGCAGTGTCCTACAAACAGTCGTGGATTGAGTAACCAAATTCTTCTTATTTTTTTCTCTCTTCATCCAGACCTCGAATTTGGCTGCAATGTACCTTCACGGAAGTTGGAAGTTTATTCCTCTGTCACACTCTCTTTGAGATGTTTCAACAATGCAGTAAGATGCTTTATGAAATCTAAGTTTTACTATAATTTTCTATTATACTCACACACCATTTCTTATTATAGTCACACATTATCTTAACAGTGCTATTCGGAGGTTTCAAAAATCTCTCCCTTGATACCAGATTTAATAGCCCGCTGAAAATATTCATAGCCCAACCTGATGACATGGTGCTCGGTGGGGGTGGTGGGGGAGGGCGTGGAACCTTAGATCGCTTTCCAGGAGTCATAATCCCTC